ATATTAAAAGGCTAAAATAAATAAAATATATAAATAAATATATAAAGTATAATAATTTTATTTTCTTTATAATATCTCTTAAAATTAACTAAATAATAGCTTTTATAACTATTAAAAATTAAAAAATAATAAAGATTAATTAATTAATTAATTATAAATTAATTAAAGTACTTTAATTACTTAAAATTTAACTTATTATTTATTTATTTATTTTAGTTTATTATAATAACTTAATTTAATAAAAGGTTATATTTTTAATATTATTTAATAAAATAATATTAGCCTATATTAATAATAAATAGTATAGTTACTTAACCTTTTATATTAATTACCTAAATTATAGTAATCTATTTTTAGTTTTTAGGTTATATTAATTTTAGCCTTTTTTATATTTTTAAATTTATAATAGCTATTTTAACTATAATAAGGCCTATTATAAAGTTAATCTTATTAAAGTTTTAAATATTATTTAATTAAATACTATACTTTATAATTATATTTTATATAAGCCTAAATTAGCTATAAATAATAGTTAAATTTTTATATTTAGCTTTTTAATAGTTATATTTTTAAAATAAATATATTTTTAACTTTAATTATTACTTTATAAAGTTATAAACTTAATATTTATAAATAAATAATATATTATAATTAATTAATAAGGAATTAATTATTTCTTTTATAAAATATAATTATAAAAGAAATCTTTATAAATCTAAATTAAAGATAAATTAAATTATTATTTATTTCTTTAAATTAAATAGTTTTTATAATTTAAAGATAAAATTATTATATAATTAAATATCTTATTAATAGTAATATAAGTAATACTTATTAATCTTATATATTTTAGTAATATATTAAATACTTAATTTTAGGTTATTTTAAAGAGCCTAAAAGGTAAAAAGGGTTTTAACTTTATTTAAAGGTTTTAATATATTTAGTGGTTATAAACTAATTAATTAAATAAAAAGTTAGATATAAAAGGAAAAACTATAGTATATACTTATCTGCAGTATATACTTATTAACTATATTATGCCTTTCTTTATAGCCTTTTTATAGTAATTAAATTTAATTATATTAAATTAAGCTATATTTAGGTTTATTATTAAAAGATTAATTTTTTTTTTTTTCTTACTGTTAGCCTTATAAGGCTATTAAGCTTCTAACTTTATATATAAAGGCTTAAATAATAAGGCCTCTATAGTAGGCCTGTATCTTAAAGGTTAAAATTATATAAGGTTTATCTGCCTTAGTGGTATAATTGCTGCCTTAATTAAGTAGTATTAATACTGCCTGTAGGTCTCTTGGCAGCTGTATTAGCCTTCTTCCTTTACTCTAGCTAAAAGATCTTAGATTGACCTTTTTAATATATCGGGCTAAGTCTATTATATAGTATATTCTCTAACCTAACTTTCCCTATTAGCTATAGTTATTAATATTAATTATAACTACTATTATAATACCTACTATATATAATAGCCTATAGGCCAATTAGGCCTATTATATAATTAACTATAACCTTATTAATATAATTAAATTAGTGCTAATAAAAGCTATAGGCTATAAATACTATAAGCTTTATATAATAGCTATAGCTATTAAGAACTTCTTATTAAGGAATTAATTTAATTTAATTAAAATAGCTATTTTTAACTGTATTTTAATTAATATAATTAGTTATATAGATTTAGATATTTTATTTTATATAATATCTTTAGACTGGCTAGCTAAAGAGCTATTATAATTAAGAGACCTAGAAAAAGCTATAAGGTAAGGCAGGACCTTAATAACTAACTAGACTATCTTTTTAGCTGCCTTTTTAGGCCTAAATTTAGCTGGCTATAAAAAGTAACTATAGAATATAATTATTAAAGCTAAATATATACTTAGCTTTCTCTTGCTTATATAAGGGTTAAGGATAAATATAAGGTAATAGTAGGG